GGGAAGCAGAGGACATCATACCAGTGAAAATGTCAGTGGATCCATGATGAAAAATGTCAGCTTGCACTGTTCCATATGGATGCCCGGCCTTTCCGAAAGACACACAATTCAAAATACTTAGTCATTGAAGACAAAGGTTCCCTAGCCACCTTGGATGACCCTCAGCTTGAGTTAGCCAGCTGGTCATGTATGAGCATTGCAATGTTTATATCTCGAGGAATGCTATGCCGTTTCACACCTCTGAAAAATGTAAGTGGCTGAAAAAAATACATTGTATCTGAAATGTCACCACCACATGTTTTGATCAAGACTGTACAAGAGTTACAGCGTATCTAAGCCCAAAAACAAAAATGTCATATATTGCCACTTACCAGTCCTTAGATGTGGTGGCTGCATTCCTTTTCTTCTTTGCAAGCTGCGTTTCCCTGTATTTTCACCTGGTGATCCTGCCAGTAACATACTTCCTGTCCTATGGTGGCTATGCCTACTCACTCTTCAGGACAACAAAAACAAGATAGGACCACAGAGCCCAACACACTCCTGTTTTCCATAACATAAATCAGCCTTTCTCAACCAGGGTGCTGATTGAGTTCAGCTTGTTTGTGTTAATGTTTAGTGATGAGCCGAACACCCCCGTGTTCGGTTCTAACTCGAACTTTCGAACATGGAAAAAGTTCTAACTCGAACTTAGAACTCAATGCAAGTCTATGGGGGTAGAACTCGGAAATTTAAATGTCCCCATTTTGAAGCCTTATATGCAATTTATTGGCCATAAAAAGTGTATGGGGATCCGGGTACTGCCCTGGGGGACATGTATCAATGAAAAAAACACTTTTAAAAAATACAATTTTTAAAGGAGCAGTGATTTAACATCACTTAAAATGAAACATTAAAAATTTAAAATTCCTTTAAATATGGTGCCAGGGGGTCCCCTTTCACTGACCGTAAAGTGGCACATCTGTATGATGTATAGAACCTGCTGAAGCAAAAATTGCATTTATATACATTTTATTGATATTTATATAGAACTCGAATATATACAGAAGTCTGATTTT